CGAGAGATGTTTGATAAGAAAGAGGAGAGATAAGGACGAGAGATGTTTGATAAGAAAGAGGAGAGATAAGGACGAGAGATGTTTGATAAGAAGGAGGAGAGATAAGGACGAGAGATGTTTGATAAGAAAGAGGAGAGATAAGGACGAGAGATGTTGGATAAGAAAGAAGGAGCAAAACCACACAAGAGAACCCACCAACCAAAAACACTTTTTTTTTCTATACGGGGAAAAGAAACATAAGATACGACAGTTGCTCATAATATGGAGGCCAAGGTGTGCCAAGATACAGCCCGTAAGCAAAATCAGCTTTTTACAAGATAAGATATGAAAAGATACATATCTTTATTCTGTCCCCGCGGTAATTTGCAAATTGCAACCCTAAAATTAGCCATAATTTGCCCCCAAAAATGCAAAATTTGCCCGAAAAATTGCCAAATTTGAAAAAAAATTTGCATTCAGAATCCTTACAGACAATTTCTGCTTACCCCATGAAACAGGCATACTGAAAAAACTCCTTTTTGGGGGTTATTTTGAAAATTCATACATTTTTAAATTAAAAGAATATTAGAAAGCTATATATGCATTATCTTTACACATGCAGTTTATCAAGAAATATCACAATGGAACTGAAACTAAGGCTGACGAACGGCTACGTCATTCCCATCGTGTCCTATGCCACGGAAATTTGGAAAATGCACGAACATTTAGTAAACAAGATTTCGAGGCTCTGGACATGTGGATCTTTCGCAGGGGTACAAAACAGCTTGCCCGTACATACATGCGTCCCCTTTGGGAACTCGGCATGCTTTTGGTGTGCCGTTACATGTCGACCAGATTAATTGCTCTTCAGAAAAGTTTCCATCGTTATTGCAGTCACGCTTCAGCGATCACATCAGAAAAAACAACTACAAAAGTCTAGACGCTACGGTTGCTACTGTTAACGCTGCTACAATATAGGTACCAGTGTCAGCGGTAAAAAAAAATAGTAGCATAAATAGAATTAGAACAGAGATCTTGACTGCGAATGAAATTCAGAACGAAGGGAAACAAATCGGCAGACTTCAAGGAGCCTTATGTGAAATGAGTTCGAGAACGGCTCAAAAGAAAGAAAATGTTTCTGGAAACCACGTCTTTTTGTAAAATGTGAGGTAGTTAGCGGAGGGCTGCGAAATTGTCCAGATCCTGGCCCACTGGATTGGTGTTTCACCACGTACACACACACACACACACACACACACACACACACAC